ACCTTGTCCCAAACATACTAGTAAACAGGATTAACAGCCTGAAAACTAATATTTTTACATATATGTAACTGCATGTTATGTGCAGTGTATTTGTAAGTATGTATGATTTCAGATAAATACATGCCAATGTATAGGTGTGGTGATTGGAGTACAGACTTGGGTGTCGACCCTCACCCTCAGCCTTAGTTATATGGCTGAATCTCATTCATGAATGCAAGCCCCAGGCTAGCAATCCAGGCAAGACATCCAGAAAAATGTGAGAGTATGCTCTGTCTCCACCTGCAATCTCACCAAAGCTCACCAGGATTTTAGAAGCGCACAAGACCAACAGGCCTCATGTGGACCCTGGGCATCCATCTCCCATTCTCCCATATGCACAGCCAGCATTTTATCTGCTGAATCACCGCCACAGACAGGGAGTCCTAACATCATTGCACGCTGTATCTGAGGCATAATTCAGCTTTCATTAGCGAATAATCAAGAAGCTAAAATTGTCTTACACAGAGGAAAACTTGGTGCCAGCTTCTGAACTTTATATTCTCTACATACTGTATTTAAAATCCAGACATTCTTACCTGAGTGGGATTTGGTCTTGATTTCTTCCATTATCTACAGAGTAGAAAGCAAAATATGTTATAAGCAACTGTAGAAAAAAGAGCATTGAATGCCAAGGCCAATGCTTTGTTACTACATATACTTTGAATCTGTGTAGCCTTCAAGGTGAATACTGATTTATAGACAATAAAAACAAGGATAACTCTTAATTTACACTTCTTTGTATGTTTAAAATACAGAGACAATTTTATCAAAAGTCGATACTAATAATAAATTGGTATACAAAATACCTATGATCATGAGCATTATCAAACAGAGAAACTGACATCTTAACCAGAATCAATATCACAAGCTGAAGTGTTAATTGGTAGCACAGTGTTGCTGCTGCTGGATTTATCTCTGGACTAGTGGTGTTAGGAGAATTGCAAGTGAGCATACTCATCTTGCATGGAAGTGAAAAGAGCCTCTCTAAAGATTAAGTTGAACTTATTTCGTTGACGATGAAAATTCCAGACACAGGGAAGCTAAGTCTATGAGAACTGCTCTTTGCAGCATAGCAAAAGTTAAGAAACACAGGTAGACCAAGGGCAAAGAATTTCCAGATGCCAGGGTGGCAAAGCTACATACAGAGAGAGAGAGGGCATTGTGTGTACTCTCCTCAAGTGCTTCTGAGGAAGATGCAGAAGCCCCTCAATTCTAGCTTCTGGTCCCTTGCTAATGGGCAGTGCAAAGAACCTCAGCACTAGCTGCTATCACCTCCCATGGTAAGAGCTATGGGAAAGCCCCCTGCAGTAGTTATGACCCTGAACTGTATCTCCAGGGCAAGAAGCATGAAAGAGACATGGGGAAAAAGCAGCAATTCCATGGGAGTAGTACCTCACAGGAAACGTTTGTGTCCACACATACACAGCTTCAAGTGAGCAGCTTTCACTTCATGCTAACAGCCTGCCCTCTACAAAGGAATAAAGCAAATTTTTGCTTATTTCATTCACAGTATGGAAACTGCAGTATAACCTCCTTGACATTGCCTATGGCTGAGGCAAAGCATTTGTCCCACCAACAAATGGACTGCCAATGAGGCTTAGCATGTGGGAGACCTCCATCAACCATCGTCACCACAAAGGAAATTTAGTGTGGAAATAATGTAAAGGACAGTCACCCACATTACAATAATACTGACTCTTTTCAATAAAGTCTTTCAGACCCTCTACACTCCACATACTCCTATTCACTTGATGCTGTGCTCTCTATAGGCAAAGCAGGTGTGAAAGACACTGTGGTGACAGCGGAGAGCCCAAACTCTGCAGTGTTCCTTCCACTCTTAGAATCTTATCCAGACTCAGTGGACCAGTCAGTGCTGTCCCCTGCAGAATGATGCTCTTTTCTCAGCCTTCCTCCTACTGTGGCAAATTGTTCTGGAAATTATGTCTATCAGCATATAAACCAAGTATCACCATATCCTCCACTAATAAAACCAAAGGAGAAGGTGCTGGCGGTATAGCCATTAGGGCGAGCGCTAGTCTAGAATGCTTAGAATGGCAGTGTTTAATCCGCAGCACTGCCTACAGGACTCAAAGTCCATTTTTTAAAAAAGTTGATCAAGCCTATTATTTCGTATGCCAAGAAATAGTCAGATTAAATAGCAGATAATTAAAGATAAACATAAAACCATATGTGAATTTTCTAATATGTCTAAGTAGAGAAATTACAGAAAGGAACAAAACCCATAAAATGTAGTTAATTTAGTTCTCAAAATCCTTAATGAAAGTAATTGAATACTGTATTTCTGTTTTTTACATGATCACCTTTCATTGACACTAATATATATGTAGCAAAAATGTAATATATTTATTATAAAAATGAAAGAAAAATTCATTTTATAACAAGCAAAATTGCTGTCACATAACTCTAGAGGACACATACTGTGGACTAGTTAGAGGTCCTTATATTTATACAAAGATACTGTGTGCATCAGTGGCTATGTTAAATAAATAAACATGGTTCAGATAATATAGTTTGATACTGAAATTTCTCAGAAAATCATTTCTGAAATAATTTTGAATGTGAAGAACATTAGGAGGCAAATTTTAAAAAATGAAATTACGTTTATATCTTATTTACTTTGTTCCTTTTTTGAATGAATTAAGTTGCTATTGGAACTAGGTAAGTAGCAGCAAAGTATTCATGATTACTCTTACCTCCACTGATCTGAAGAGACTTCTTAAGTATTGGTTTCAGCTCTCCAGGTGGTCGTATGCCGCTGTTGCATATTTTAAAATGTAATATCTTAATATTCATACAAGAACATTTACCAAATGCTTTGATTATTTGCTGTTTGATTTCCTAACATACATTAGAGATTTACAGTCAAGCATTAACTTGTCCTTCAATCAGTTGATTAGGTTTGGTGACACTTTTTTAAAACTTTTCCCATGTGAAAGAAAGGAAAGATTTAGTCTACAGAAATTAGTCCACCGAAAGCATAGACACACATGAGGGAGACAAAGAGAGAAAGACAGAAAGAGATAGAGAGAGAAAGAGAGACACAGAGAGAGAGAGAGAACACCAAAGACAGTAGTTTCTTTCCAGCACATTTTTTAAAATTGTAGTAACTGATGGTCACTCTTGTGCTCAATGTAATTAGTACCCCGATTCCATTTGTCATGTCATCATCTGCTCCTAGAGCATCACAGAATCCCTCTCTCTCAGGTTACTTTGTGAGCTCTCAATGCATGTGATGCTATCTCTCACAAGGTTTGTTTGTGGACCATAGAATAGATTCCTGCTTCTGCTAGCACTCTGACAAGATACCATGGCCTAGGCTATGCTCAAGCTGCCCCTTAGTAGTCCATTCATGAGTGAATCTTGAAACCACAATTGGCCTGTTTCTATGCCAAATGAGCATTGTTATTAACTTAATGAGATAAAAATATGAACAAACAACAATAAAACTCAGTGGATAATTTCAGGTTATTAGCTTGAGACAGTTTAGAATTCCTAGTAGAATAGAACATGATTTTTACAAGGTGTGTCTTTGAACAGTTGTAGCTACTGTAATTTATGAATCTGCACTTTGGACCTTTTAACTTGGAGTAATTTATTAATAAATAATTAGTAATAAGCAATTTACTAATGTGTGTCAAATGCTTTATGATACATGTTCCCACAAATGATAACACAATTGTCCTCTATTATGGAAGTAATCAATTAAGATGAGCACAGAACTAGCTTGACATACCACCTTTAATTTTCTGCCAAATCAGTGTCTGAGATAGCAGATCACTGACAGAAGGGGCCTTTTACTCTATGTTCATGTCCTACTGATGGGGAAGACAAAGCCCCTTTTATAGACACATAAAGAGTAAACATGCCACAGTTTGGCTCTCTACATCCAGATAATCTACTGAGATCCAGAGACTTCATTACTGTAGAAAACAGCTCAAAGGAATGGAAAAGTGATGGATGGAGCACTGTGGTAGGAGGAAGGCATGGGATCTTCCACCATCTATAAAAGGGTCCTACACAGAACAAAAGGGCCTCTGCATGTGGAGATGGTGTCAAAGGAAGAAAGTACTTTGTTGGCTTCTTGTAACACTGTGTGATAATGCAGAATGATCCCAAATCCTGTCAGCTCTCAGAATGACAAATGCGATGAAGATCTAGTTCACTAGCTGATTTCAGAAAAAAATTGAAAAGGCACTAAGTGTCAGATGGACATAGAGAGTGTGGTTATCATCAGTGGGCTCATTTTCCAAATCGCAGAATTGGTACTTGGGACATGATGGTTGCGTATACAACTCATGTCCACGATCTAAAAACAACAATATTTCTTGCTAAAATACATTGATAATACTATGGGGATTGTAAGACAAAGCAAAAATTGAGTGTATAAATCAGTATCTATCTGAGAATACAATCAATAATTGGCTTGTTATCTTGGAATTTCCTTAGTATTATTGTATTCTTAGACCTTACCTGCAAAAAGGCTTCTTATTGGTATTGTAATGTACTTCTAAAAAAATCAAAATGAATTTGTTACAATGCTAGAGAAATATAACATATAAAATGATTAGATACATAGTATCCATTTTTGAGACTAATCTAGACTATTCTAAATACTCTTTTTTAGGAAATTTGTTCATGTAGAATTAATCCATTTTGTTTATTTCAAATCAAACAAGACTTAAACTTATCAAGCACAATACCTAAAAATAAACAATCACCCTGTGATTCCCAAGACAGCCAGAACTACATAACAATAAAACTGTGTCTCACAAACAAAACAACAGATTCAAAATGGAAAACAAGATCCATGGGCCTATACATATTTTTGTTCTTCAAGGAAACAAAGAACCTTGTTGAGCCTTTTAGTTAAAATTGTTCATTTTATCAGGCAAATTCCTACCACTGGGACTATATGTATTGTTTCTGTCTTTTTGTATCAGGATGAAACCTGGCAGAAAGAAAGAGAAGAGGGACAGAGACCTTTACATAACAGCTCAAGGGAGGGCAGGCATCAAGCTTCCTCTCCTCATCCCTTTTGGGGAAGGAATATCCTTAGTTCCATCTGTGTTCCCAGACTTATATGCAGCTTAAAGGATGCTCATGATAGCAGGCATCATCTCCCCTGAAATGAATTACTGGAAAGATCTCTCCCTTGGGAGTAATAACCCCAAGCTCGACCTCAAGTGCAAGAGCATCAGAGAAGAAGCTGTGAGACTGGAGCAGCAAATTCCATGGGCTTCCTTCTGACATAGGATCATTGTACAAGTTCACATATGTAAACAATAAACTCACTCAGTCCTTCACTGTTCACTTGCAGTTTGCTTTTAGAAATGAAACATTGGAGGCTGGTAGTGGTGGCTCACACCTTTAATCCCAGTGCTTGGAAACAGAGGCAGGAGGCTCTATTGGAGTTCAAGACAAGCTTGTGTAGAGAATACATTAAAGGGAAGGCTCCAAATATACATACAGAAAAACCCTGTCTCAAAAAAACCCCTAAAATAATCATAAACAAACCAAAAAAGAAATGAAATCATTCATTTTTGTCTTGTTTAAAGTCAAGGAAACTTAGTGTGCCTTTTCAGCATTCCCCCATGTCTCAGGACAGCCATTTCAGCCACCAACTAGTGGACTGGGATTGCGGCTCAGTAGGAAAGCCTATGCTTATTATGCAGGAGGCCTCAGTCAGTTCTCACCACCACAGATGCCATGAACAGCAAACTTCATAATACAGTGACACAAAGCTGTCTCCATCACAATAATATTGACTCTCTTCATCTTACCTCTTGAGAGAAGAGGGTTTTGCATTCTCTACTTAGTGTGGTTGTCACTGACAGACACTGTGATGAAAGCTGATGAAAGTAAATACTACGTGGTGCTCCTGCCACTGCCACAAAGTCTCTCCAGACTCAACGGAGAAGCAGATAATTATTTGAAATACAGAATGATGTCATTTTCTTCACTTTGCTTTTTGTTTCAATTTTTTTAAGATTTATTATAGCTACAGTGTTTTGTCTGCATATATTCCTGCAGGCCAGAAGAGGGCACCAGATCTCATTACAGATGATTGTGAGCCACCATGTGGTTGCTGGGAATTGAACTCAGGACCTCTGGAAGAGCTGCCAGTGCTCTTCACCTCTGAGCCATCTCTCCAGCTCCTTGTTTCAGTTTTTATTCTTGAATCATGCTTTGCAGTATGGAAATGATATACACCCTTACCATGTTCTTTTTAACAAAAACAGAAGGCAGAGATAATGGGTAGGGTGCTTGCCTACAATGCTCCCAAAGCCTTATGTTCAACCTCTAGCACTTCAGAGAAAAGAAAGAAACAAACAAAGAAAGAAAGAAAGAAAGGAGGGAGGGAGGGAGGGAGGGAGGGAGGGACTGATTTAGGGATGGGTGGAAGGAACGAGGGGAGGCAGGGACCAAGAAAAAGGAAGAAGAAAAAGAAAGAAAAGGAAAACATATAAGGATTGTTAAGTCTTCCTAAAATCAATGCATTCACTGTAAAAGAAACACTTCCACCCTAAAGTAGGAGATTTCTAAAGAAAACAATTATACAGTATGCCAAAACTTTCCAAACTGAGAACTTTCACAGACATTTAAGAACTCAGATGATTTAATAACATCATAAGGTAGGAAATTAGTTAATGAAAATAATTGATTAAGGTTTTTTGTGACTTAATTTTATTTTAGTGGCAGTGAGATGTGTTAGCGATATGCAGTGCAAAATACAAGGCATTTGTCATAAACTCAAGGAGAATCTGTATTTCTGACAATCCTATTTGCTGCAATGTGACTATGGAAGACATGTGCTGTGTAAAGATGTTTTCTCATTTATTCAAAAGCTGTACAGATATCAGCATTAAAGTGAAATAAGCAATGTTTTGACAAAAATACTTCACACTTGAAAGTGCTTGATTTATACTTGTTTTCCTTAACTCCTTTTTGGGGTCTAAAAATCTTTACTCTTCCTTATTCCTTCTTCTTCGGGGAAGGTAGGACAGATGGAGTAATTCTTACCTTTGTTGAAGGTGACACACTTTTTCTTTCTCTGCTCTGGCTCTCTTGTCATTGTTCCTTCACTGTGACATATGTTGAAAGTGATCATCATTTAATTATCCATATAAAAACACTTAGCATGTTTATAAATTCTTTATTTTTGAGTCCCTAATACATCTTATATTACATATTACATAAATTCTTTATTTTTGAGTCCCTCATACATCTTACGTTACATATTTACAAAAACATTTTTTGAAACAGGATCTCATTATGTATTCCAGCTAACTTTTAATACACTATATGTTTCGTGTTTGTCTTGAAATCAAAGAGATCTATGCCTCCTGCCTCCCACATTCTGGGATTAAAGGCATGGGCAAAGAGGCCGAGCCAAATAATTCTGAATTCATTCTTCAACAGTTGGTGATGATTAATGACTGCTCTCCTTTCCACCTTTCCTCATGGAGAATAACATAGAAAATTTAGCTCTTGATTAAAACAACACACACACACACACACACACACACACACACACACTCAGGCACACACATCCAAGCACACAAGACAGGGGAATGGCGGTTTTTCCACACACTTTGTTCTGATGGTTGCAGTAACTGACTGTTTTATGCTCTAAGTACGTAATGCTCCTATTTCATTTCTCCCCCTAAACCTACAGCACCTTGTCCTGTTTTCTGTCAAGAAACTTTTTAGGCATTACATTTAGTCACTCACTCTCTCCCAAGATATTGCTTCGGGAGCAACATCTTGATCTAAACATCAAACATCGAAAAATCTAAACATCTAAACCTCAAGCTGCCAACAATATCAGAATTCACCATATTTTGGTGATTTGAAGCTGCTTTATTGGTAGTCTGTGCGCAAGTACATGATGAAATTCTTTTTTTTTGTTTTGTTTTGTTTTTTGAGACAGAGTTTCTCTGTAGTTTTGAAGCCTGTCCTGGAACTGGTTCTTGTAAACCACGCTTGCCTTGAACTCACAGATCCGCCTGCCTCTGCTTTTCTGAGTGCTAGGATTAAAAGCATGCACCAAAACCACCTTGATCTATGAGGATCCTCTTTATACACAATGGCCAGTACTTCCTGCACAAGTCTTGAGTATTTACAGGGCACTGCAGAGCAATACAGTACCCTCAGCTCTACTCCATCCGAACTACAGCTAAGAGCTCCAAATTTCAGGGCTTCTGGTTGGTAAGCTCTGGACTAACCAGTTTGTTTTTCTGACTTCACCTACCTTGTGAATCACCACAGTTGGGTAACTCATTAAGGAAGCTATTAACCTGCTGGACAGAAGCATGTCTATAAGGCCATTCTGAGGTAATCTTTAGCAAAGCCTTGGAGAGTTTTGAACCTTGCCATATTATTCACACTCTTCCCACAGACAACTCAAACAAACAAATTAGTGAAAAAGATTAATGACTTGAAAATTGATCCTTTTACATATATGTGCAAAATATGTTATATGCTGTGTATTTCTATGTATGTGTGATTTAAGATAAATACATGCCAGTGTGTAGGTGTGGTGATTGGAATATAGACTTGGGAGTTGACCCTAACCTTAAGCATTAGTTTACTAGCTGGATCTCTCACTCATGAATGCAAACCTCAGGCAAGCAATCCAGAAAATGTCAGGAGATGCTCTCTGTCCACGTGCAATCTCATCATAACCTCACCAGAATTTTAGAAGCACACAAGACCAACAGGCCTCATATAGACCCTGGGAATCCGTCTCCCATTTTCCCATATACACAGCCAGCACTTTACCCACTGAATCACCTCCACAGACAGGGAGTCCTAATAGCATTTCATGCTGTATCAGAGGAATAATCAGTTATTTAAAACTATATGCTTCTCCATAGATAAATATTCAGCTTTGATTAGCATATAATCAAGAAGCTGAAACTGCCTTACACAGAGAAAAACATGGTGGCAGCTTCTAAACTTTATATTCGCTACATGCTCAGTGTATTTTAAAATCCAGACATTCTTACCTGAGTGAGACCTCATCTTTTAGTCTTCGACTACCTATAAAGTAGAAAACCAAAATATGTTATAATCAATTGTAAAATATAAGAGCATTAAATGCCAAGGCCAATATTTTTTTTACTACATATACTTTGTCCCCAAATGAGTTTAAAATTTAAAGCGAATATTGATTTATAGAAAACAAATATAGATAACTCTTAATTGAGACTTCTTTGTATGTTTCAAATAGAGACAAACTTATCAAAAGTTACTACTTATAATAAATTGGTGTACAAAACACCTATGATCTTGAGCACTATAAGACATCTTAGCCAGAATCAATATCACAAGCTGAAGTGTTAAAGCAGTAGCACAGTGTTGCTGCTGTTGCTTTGTCTCTGGACTAGTGGTGGTAGGAGAATTGTAAGTGAGTATACTCATCTTGTATGGAAGTGAAAAGAGTTTCTCTAAGGTTTGAGTTGACCTTATTCCATTGAAGATGAAAATTCCAGACACAAGGAAGCTAAGTCTATGGTGACTGCCCTTTGCAGCATAGCAAAATTAAAACAAAACAAAACCACAAGCAGACGAAGGACAATGGCCCCTGCAAAGAATTTCAAACTGATAGGTTGGCAAAGCTCCAGAGAGGGGTCAAGGTGTGTACTCTCCTTAAGTGCTTCTGAGGAAGCTGCAGAAGCTCCTCAGTTCTAGCTTCTGGTCCTTCACTAATGGGCAGTGCAAAGAAGTTCAGCATTAGTAGCTATCACCTCCCATGGTAAGAGCTATTGCAAAGCCCCCTGCAGTAGTTATGCACCCTGAACTGTATCTCTAGGGCGAGAAGCATGGAAAAACATGGGGACCAAGCAGCAATTCCATGGTAGTAGTACCTTACAGGAAACATCAGAGTTCCCACAGACAATGTATCAAGCTCCACTGCATGCTAAAAGCCCGCCCTCTGAAAAGGAATAAA